GGGTACAGACCGACAACTCTATAATGCTTCAAACGGGATGCTCGCCGCAGTGCTTGCCTTGCAAAGAAAGGGGCGGGGAAACCTTTTTCATTAACCTAGGACAATTCCTATTGAACTGACCTAAACGGTAAACAGCCAACAGTCAATAGACAAATAATCAAGCACATCGCGAATGTAGTGAATATTACGAGCAACATTTGCGGCAGATAAAGCTTAATTGCTCTCAATAACTCCAGAAACTACATTCCAAAGACTACGCTCAATCTTTTCATCGGATCGATGACTATCAAGTGAAGTGGGCTGACTTGCTTGTTGAGGGGGTTGGAATGAGAGACATTTTGAGCAGAGCTACCATCACAAACAAAGAGCTGTTGTTTCAATAATGAATTTTCATGAGAGACTTAATCTCTTCTGTGAGTTCCCTACACAATTGCACCATAGCCTGAGTTTGCTTCCGATCATAAATGGGGTAACCAAGGACCATCCGAAGGTGAAGGGGCAGGGACTAGTTTTCCCTCAATGCAGCCATGTGATTACCGAGATCAGTTGCTGGGGTAGTGACGGCTCAAGATCAGTCGCATGTCTTTTTTGAGTTCCCTTGTGTTGTACCTGAAGAAAACTAGGGGCCAGAGGGGTTTTCACAATGCAGTCGATTGACGAATTTAATGGGATCAAAGAATTAATAGACATCGAGTGGTGGCTTGCTTCAAAAAATTTCGAAAATTTAACCACCAGCCACAAACAGCTTCGATTGTGAGATCAAACAGAAATCACTCGATCGATGCCACATCGACAGTGTGATCGATGAATCGAAATGCCAACGCGTGGCCAAAAACAAAACAGAAAACTCGACAAATAAAAATTTCCGAGTAAAAAATTCTTGGGCCAAAGTGGTCACACTCTGCCACGTAGGTGCTCACACAGACCAGCGATAAAACAGAAGCGGTAGAAGCAGGTCAAAAACCGAATGCATCAAATATGGAAGATCAAAATGGAGCTCCGCAAACAGACACGACCGTGCGCGGCAGCCACAGGCTTGCAAATGAGCTGAGCGTTGGTTGAGCTCGCTATGTAGTCCCCTATGAGCTATCGCTTTGTTCGAAGGTAACTGATCGCCACCATCTTCGTATGGTGATCGATTGTAGTAGCCATCACTATGCCCTTGAATAGTTTGATTAACAACTCGGAGAATTTTGCGTAGATGGCCTCCTTCTTCGCGTCTTTTGTTCCGATGAATTCGCATATTCCACACGAATCCATGGCCCTATTTTGCACCACTCCATGTTACCTTCTTGTTTCCCTGAGAGCGAGTAACTGAGTTCGAGGATTTGAGATGCAAACCTGGAAGAAGGGTGTGTTGGGAATAAGGGTTAGCAAGAATGTTCATAGTTGATCGCAGCCAAAGAGTATGTCTGGATTTCGAGGTGTGTCGTAATGCCCTGTGGAAGACCCGGTATTGTCAGCCATACGGTCAATTCTCAACCGGGTTCCTGGACACTGCTGTGCTGAAGCTCCGGTCGCGAGAATTGCCGGAACTTCTAGTAGTGCAAGAATTTATTTGTAATTCCTCAGTGGTTTCGTGTGGGTTTAAAGATAAATCCAACTTACCATAATTCTTGTCACTGTAAAAATATTACTCCTTACAAATGTGATTATTTATCACTGCCCCGTTTAAACAACCTTGATATCTGATCGAATCGTCAAGTTCTACTGAAAAAATGACCTCATGGAAGCAAAGCCTTTGTTTTTTT